CAGCTTTGACAGAGGTTTGGGGAGGTTCTCTGGCAAAGGCCCCAAAGCAGAGACACAGAACAGTCTCAAGGATTTTACACCAGGTGGCTGCTGCTCATCTTCACTTGGAGCTCCAGAACTGTTACTGGCAGGACAAAGCCTTACAAAGTGTCACCTGTAAAGAACAGATCCCTGACCAAAAAATGGGAATGGAATTGTAAGACAGGGGTTAGGTGGGAGAAAACTATGGCAGGAGTCAGGTTTCCATCACTACTCTGTCCCTGTTTTGGAGGCCCACATATTAGGAGTAAGGTATTTTTATTAAACACAAACCAGCATCTGCAATTTCATTTAACACAAATTTCTTTTTGGCTTTCTGGTAACTGCAGGTATCTCCACTTCTGTAGTGATTCTACAATTCCAGTGTGTTCAGTGACTATCCAAAACCAACACCCTTGTTACATCAACACTCCTAAAAGCTCACAGCAAACTGTAGAAACAATGGATTTTAGCAACGGCTAATCCCATTCACCTACTGAGTTTTCTGAAAATTATTAAAAGGATGAAAAAACCCACTTCAAAATACCAGTTATTTCTGGAAACAAGAAGCAGATGTTCTCTTCTGTTTGGCTCAGCTGTGCTACAGTACAAGACTGCCTTTGTTATGCTGTCAGCAATAATTTATTTTATTTATTACAGCCATTTTATAATGCCCATCAATGTACTATTTGTGCATGATTTACATCCATGCAGATCCATTTCTCTGTACCTAAGCCATCAAGAAGCATCACATACACACTCCAAACAGCAGACTCCGTTATGACACAATTCTGCAAATTAGGTTTTTCCTCTTTCCACTGTATTAATAAAAAGGGAACAGGAAGAGAAGGAGGGTAGTTAGTATTGCCAAATAAAGTCGAATTATCATTAATCAAGAATTAATGCAACAAGACAAAGTTAGGAAAATACAAGAGCTCAGAGCATAAAAATAAACTCCAACTCTTTGAAGTCAAATAAAGGCAAAGCTTTCTGAACCACGAAAGTAAACACTGTCTAGAACAAAGTCATGAAGAACTAAAAGAGACTAAACTGGGGAAAGGATCCATTAAAAATGGAAGAGAGCATGCCCATGGGAGGGGAGGGGAGGAGAAGGGAAGGGAAAGAAAAAGGAGCGTCATTTGCTGTTTGGCCCTATCAGCCACTGAGCCCTTATCTGAGGCAGGCGTTAAACCACTCCCCAAAAGACCAACATCAGAGCCTTTGTACAGATCTGATAAGGAATTGTGGGCCTCGAAAAAATTAAACCTTTAATGAGAATGCACACATGGTGGCATGAGCATTCATCCTCCCCTCCTACTGCTTTGAACAAAAGATTTTCTTCTATTATATTTTCTGTTCTATTTCTATGTTCTTCTATTTCTTCTAATATTCCCAAGTTACTAATTTAACATCCCCACCTGTGACACAAGAAACAGCCAAAACACTGCACAGTAAAGCCCATATTCCCAGCCTGCAAGAACTGGAGGATCTGCATGTATGAACACTCACAGATTTACCACCACGCACACATCTGCATAACCCTGGAAGACAAATGCAGGTATTAAAATATTCAACGAGTGTATGAAATCCTACAGTTTAAATATAGGTATGACTTTTTTTAAAGTGATTAAGTATCCAATTACTGCCAAGATTTCCTCTCTCTGACAAGACAGAAAGGATGATTTGTTAGGATAATCTGTTATCCAAACTAACATCTGAGAGAAGCCTCACAAATTCTGCACTTTCAGGCTGTACCTGAAAGACAGATTTATATCCAGAGTCAGCCCAGGGTCATGATGTCCATCATGGAACCAACAAGTCAGACGTTTGACTAAGTGGGACTCACTCAAATCCTACAGCAGCATCTGCCACATACATGGACATCAGTCCCCCAGGAAACATTCTGGAAGCCTTTCCAATAGAAAAGTCACTTGCACCACATATTTACAATATGCCCCCTACAGTGATGCACTAGAGGAGAGGAAAGGCAGAGGAAAGGCATCAAAACCTCGGGTAGTTCTAAAGAAAGTTTCTAAACAGAGTAACACAACAATTACATAAAAATGTACACATCATTAAAGGTTTGCTACAATCTCTATAAGTTCATCAAAATACCCCCCCCAATAAATTAAAGATTATAACACAAGAAGTATCTGAGCAACCAAAAAAAAAAAAAATCAAGTGTGTACATGCCTAATATGCATAACTTATACACTTTAACAATTAGCAAACATTGGAATGTTACCACAACACTGAAAACTTGCCCTAACAGAGATTTTTTCCAAACAAAAATATTCATGGCATCAACAGAAAAAACCTTTACTTGAGCAAGCCATTGAGGTAATTTTCAAAATAAGTAAATTACAAAAATACTTGAGTGCTTCCCTGCTTAGTTTCGTAGTTCTTAGAAATTAAAACATTTCGCCAAGAAAGAGACTTAAATCAAAATCATATGGATAATTCTACTACTTGTAAGCAAATTTTGGCATGTGGAGTGTTTATCTGTATTTTTCCAGACTCTGTAGAGATGACAGGAATGAAGCACCAGACCATGCTACTAATCAGCACAGCCCCAACCCTGTAATTTGTGATAAATACCCAGGTAAACTGCTCGTATAAACTGCAGGATCAGAAGTAGAGACGGGGGCAGAAGGGGGCTGAAAGTGATTGAAAGTCATGTGGACAAGCAGCTTTGGCTTATCACAAAATGCTGCTCACGGCTTGGGGAATGTGGGGGTTCCTGCACAAAAACACAGCCAAAGGGCACGGGCAGCTGATTCCATGTGGGAGGAGCTGATGATACCTTCCCCCGAGAGTAGGAGGGGAGAAATGAAGCCACACTTTGTGTACAAGTGGATACTTCAGGACAGGAGTCACCAGATTGTACATCCTGTGCAGGGACGCCCGAAATTTGGGTCTGACCCGATGGCTGCGCTAAGGTTTCAACTCCCCTGTCCCGAGTCCTGCAGCCTACACAGGAGAGAGAGGACAAGTCAGGATGCTGAGCATGATTTTAAATAAATAAATGAATGAATAACACTGCAGATGTTTGAGGAATGTGCCAGCGTGACTGCGACGGGGGGTTCGATGTTGTGCTTTGTACCTGAGCAGGTAGCACAGACCCAGGCCGGGGACCCCCAGGGACACCCTGCTATCGGAACAGGGAAGAGCTTCTCCTTCTAAATATATACAAACAAAAAGTACCCCGAGAAAACAAAAGTGATTTGACTGTAATTATCCACTCAGCAACAGGCAGCGAGAACAGAGGACCCAATCCTGCCAAGTTTTAAGTACATGTTTAACTTTAATCACGAGTAGTCTCGCTGTGCGGTGTCTCTAAAAGCCTGCCAAAAAAGGGCCAGATTAACAAGGGAATTAAGATTTTTTTTTTTAATCATTTTGGAAGCGCTATTAGTTAGACAAGCAAAGATTAGATTTTTTTTTTTCTACAATTAAGATACCTTGGCAAATTCAAACCTGCACACAACCCTGATGTCAGTCTCAATGGGAACCTACACGGATCCACACGAAACCCCAAGCAGCTGGACATGGTGATACCGGTCAGTTTAACACTACAAGGTTAAGCAAAATAATTATTTTAAAGCAGTTTTAGCCATTTCTCACCAAAATAAGTGGACAACCCTAAAGAATTCCATGACAGCTGCTGGGTGGAAAATTGGGGACGCCTAAAAATAAAGAACAAACAAGCCCTACACAGCAACAGATGTTGGTACAGTGAGTGGGGAGAGGTTTTGGGCCAGGCCAGATTACCTGTTCCCCAAAGTCCAAGCCATGACGAGCCAGCAGGGAATGCCAGCTCATGAATGACACTTCTGTGATGAACCCAGTTGCCCAACACTGCAAACCACACTGGCAAAGGAATTTTGCTAACTGAAGACTCCAGCTGAAGAGAGAGAAAGAAAGGTCTGAAGCAAGAGAGGAGTTCTAAAAATAAAGGGGAAAGAACGAACAGAGAGTCTGCCTCATCATTAATTCAGAGACACAGGGAGGAATGTGTGGGATATCCCAAGGCGAGTAAACATTGGGACTGAACATCTGTATTTCACTCACAAGGCTGACTTGAGAGGGAATGGGGGACTCTGTCCTGTAGGACGTACTCCAGAGCAGCTCTCCCTGAGTCGCCCTTTCATATTTAACTTATAAGGAAGGCCAGGCAGGACATTCTGCTCTCCATGAAGTATCAAGGGAGAACAGATGTTTCCCAGTCTCCAAGGGACAAACTCAAGAGTGTATCACTTCATACCACTAATTCTTGAGCACTTAAAAAAAAAAAAAAATCACAGCAAGGGAAACAACTAAAGGAAGGCAAAGGGTAAGTAAGCAAACAAACTCCAATCAGCCCTTCAGTAAATGCAAATGCTATCAAATGTATTTCATTATTAAGTTAATGCTCCACGGCATTTACCATTCCCAAAAATACATGGCTGATTACAGACTACCTTGTGGGGAAGGGACAGGGAAGGCAGTTAATTGGAAAGTGCATTTTATTGTAGCTTACCAGCCTCGCACATTTCTACACTCCTACTCACTGCAGAAACATCTTTATGAAGTCTGCGCAGCATAATTAGTTTGGTTTTGTTTAAATCTGCATCACCGTGCAGGTAAGCAAAGGCTTTCAGCTCCCTAAACTTTTTCCCAGAAGTTTTGCATCACTGAAATATGCATCATTTCACTTTCCGGCGATCTGCTTCTCGTTCTTCCTCTTCTCCCCGCAGCTGGCCTGGCACAGCCCAGAGAGCGCCCCGTGCCCGTACCCGGGGCGTTCCGAACCGCGCCGGTCCCCGGAGCTCGGGCTCGGCAGAGCGATGAACAAACACCGCGCTCCGGGGCCAGCCCGGGGGGAGCGTGCGAACACACCGGGCACCGCGGAGCCCGCGCCGGCGGAGCGCGGCTGCGACACGGGGAAAGTGACAAAATAAACAGGGAGAGCCGCGCTCCGGGAGGGAGCGGGGCCGCCTCACCTCGGGAGTGCGCTCCGTGGGCTTCTTCCTTAGCGCCTGTTTGATCCTGGGCTCCACCGGGGCGCTCATCCTCCCGCGCCGCGGGGCTCCCGCCGGGGCGCTCCGGCCGCGACACTCGCCCCGCGCGGGGAGCGGAGCGGGGCGGCTCGGCGAGGCCGGGCAGGGCCGGGCGCGGTGCCCGCCGCCGGGCTGGCGCTCGGGGCTCGGCCGGGGCTCAGCGGCGCTGGCGGCGCTCGGGGCGGGCGGCGGCGGCTCCCGGCGCGGTCCCGGGGCCGGCGCCGCTCCCCATCGCGCCCTGCGCCAACTTACCGGCCCGAGCGGGACTCCCCGCGCGCGGCCCCCGCGGCTCCGCCCTCCCGCGCCCGCACAAAGCCGCGCGGGCGGGCGGGGAGCTCCGCGGCGCGGGGCGGCGGAGGGTCCCGCGGAGAGGAGCCCCCGCGGGCGGGGAGCGAGCGCGCGCCTCCGTTCGAGCCGCCGGGGAGCCGCCGGTGCCGCCCGGACCCCCCGCCCCGCTCAGCCGGCGCGCATCCCCCAGACCCGGAAAAGCGCGAGCGCGGGCGCTTTAACCCGAGAATCAGCGAGAGGGGCGAGGGGCGGGGCGGAGGGGCGGGCGGGGCCGGCGCGAGCTCCGCCCCCCTGGGCGGGCGGGGGCGGGGCCGGCGGGCGGCGCGGAGCGAAGGCTCGCGAGGCTCGGGAGGGGCCCGGCGCGTGCGCGTTGAGGCGGCCCCGCCGCCGCGCTGTGTGAGGGTTGGGGGGGCCTGGAGTTTCTGCTGAAAACAGCTTTTGTGCCGCCTCTGCGCCCCAAATAAAGCATTTTCTGCATTCACCTACACTCGCAATAAAGCATTTTCTGCATTAATTGCATGTAGTGCACGTCAGTTGGGATGCGCTGCCCCAGTCAGTGTCCATGGGCAGGGCTCGCTTCGCTGTCATGGCACCGCTGCCCCTGTGCTTTGCCTGCCTTCCCACCTCTTCCTCGCACTGCTGTTCGCAGGACATTGGCCTCCGTGATTCCTGAGCTGCTCCAAGCCTTTGGCTTGGGGAGTGACCCCATCCCCGCGCTGCCCACTGAGGCCTCGGGCATGAGGGTGGAAGGATGGGCCTGCGAATTGGGAGCTCTTTATATTAAATACAAAAAAGCTGCTGGCACAGCTCAGGAGCCCTGTGGGGATTTACAAAGTTCTCCCAAGCCCCGCGTTCCCAGGACCGACGGCCCCTCGGGGACACCAGGAAGCCGCCGTGTGTCAAACACGCCTCGGAAGATTTCCTTCCTACCCCAAGTCCAATTCTGTAAATTTAGGAGATCAAAGCTATGCAGGCACACAACTTGTGTTTGTCCTTTTTTTTTTTCCCTCTTTCCTTCCTAACAAACAAGAGTGTTTTTGTTTCTCCCCTTTCTCCAGCCACCCCTTCCCATTCTCTTTACCACTTGCCCTTTATGGCACAATCGTCTTTGTTGTGCTCAAGGACTTTATTGTCCATTCCAAGTTGTTTTATAATATTTCTAGTGTTTTCTTCAAAGAAAAAGCTGAGGAAATATGACATTTCCTCCACTGTAGACTGTGCTGGGGCTGTGCCTGGTACCATTGCAGATACAACAACAGCGGGATGGACAGCCTGGATCTTAAAAGCAACTACCTTTAACATCACACAGTCATTACCCTGCAACCACAACAGAGAGAACATAAGATGCTCTCAAAAATGAGTTGGTTTCAGTCCCATAAAGTCTAGCAACGCTCATTTTCTTTTTTTTTTTCCTTCATTTTGAACTTCCGTAGTAAAAGTAGCATTTCCAAATACCATGTCTATTATCGTTCCAAAGGTCAGAAGTTTGTACTAGTTATTTGGCAGAACACGTTATCCTTTTTCAACTTTAGTACATAAAATATTATTTCCACTAGTGTGGGAATCTTCAGAGATTCCCTGCCAGGAAACCAAATGGAAAAGATGGAGATAAAAAGTTCTCCTGGATAACTGAGGAAAAGAAAGAATAAAAGAACTGAAGCATTAATCCTTCTTTATTACGATTCTTTTTTTTTCTTATTTTTTCCTTCTTTTTTTATTTTTAACCGGAGATGTAAGAGCAAATCAAGTAATTTTCAGCCCAGTTTATATTTAAAGATAATATAAAAGACTAGTCAATATTCCCCAGGTGGAGGTGGCTGGAAAAAAAAATATATTAAAGACTAGGAAAACACCCCAGATTTTGCTGAACTCTGTGCTGTCACAGTTCTCATGGATCTGTAAAAATTTAAGCCCTATTCTTGGTTTTTAGAAGGGAACTCATTCTACCACCTATTCTAGCTGCTTAGCATTCCTGCAATGAACATAATACTGAGGTGGACACACAGTATGGGAATAAAGTTAGTAGCCTAAAAAGTCCTTTTACTTTTGCACACAAATTCTCCTATTTATTGTACACCAGCCCACAGGCAAGGAGCAGTAGGGGAGCCAGAGCTATTCCATAGGAATAGCTGCTGTTCCAATTTAATTGCTTGGCAAAACTGACCCGTGAAACAAGACTTTCCTCTCTCCAAAAATACCCGAATTTGGGTGGGTAATGGCTCTAATAGCTGCAATTATTCCAGGGGTTATTTTAGCTGTCGGGTTTATTTTCCCAAATATCTGGAGAACAATGGAAACGAGTGTCATGATCCCAAGTGCTGACTGGTGTTACAGCCAAGGTCTCCCGGTGGTAAAGCCGACGTAGTTAAACACAATTAAGAGGCTTTCACAAGTGAGTAATTTTGGGGCTGGGATTGAAGGATGTGGCCAGGCAGGATGGTGATTGTCCATGCAGAGGGGAAAATTTGCTTTCCTTTAGCCTGGATTGTATCACTGTGCCCTAATGAAGCACCGTTACTTATCACAGAGGTTTTTTATTGAAAACCAGCAGTGTCTGTAGGCTTACATATAAGAATCAAAGGTGCTTTGCTATTAATACAGATGAGTTTCAGTCTCAGGAGACTGTTTTCTGCTTCAAACATCCGTGAATTTGGGAAGACCAGCTGAGTTATGGAGTACTTCTCCCCCTCCCAGCATGTTCCCTCAACTGTTCTGGTTCACTGACACTCCCGAAGATGCCTTTTCATCTCACGCCTTGTACCACCGTGTGCCCATCCCAGATTCCTCAGGGTAAAACTCAACTTCCTCACCTCTCCCACTGGGAAAGATTCATAATCAACATGCACTGAAATATTTTTAACTTGTATTTTTATATTTCTGTGTGTTTCTTGTCCTGTGAGTTTTATTACAGCCTGGCAATTTCCTTCCTCTTGTTCTCCAATCTGGCTGTTAGGCTATTGGTCTCTTAGCTTTGGAAAAAAAAATTCCCTTTGGAGATTCATGCATTTCATTGGCAACAACTACCAGCTAAGTATGTGGTTAACACACCGCAAGGAAGATACACAAATTAATTCTCTGCCTGACTAGAGGAAAACAAAATATTCTGGGATTCCCAAGGGGAAGAACCTCTTCAGACAGTTTTACCATATATGCTTATTCTGATGATGAACTTCCTGAATAGAACATATTTATGATGGTTCAGTAAAAGTCTGTGAAATGGGGGAGGCAAAGGCATCACTGGGAATTTTGTGGAAGTTCACCTTTTGCAGGAAAGTTACGTTTTTACAAAAGGCACAACACTGCTCAGGCAGCTGCATAAGAACATTGATCTCCTGGCTAAAACAGCATTTTGCAGCTTAAAATTTCCATTTCTGAAATTAAATGTGAAATACCAAATTATTTTTGCAAAATCAAAACCAAAAATGGTCATTCTGTATTGTACTGCTAATTCTGCCCCTTCTGAGGCGAAATTCCCCACTATGCATATTCCCAGAGCTTCAGTGCAAAGGATAAGGGTAAAAGGTGGAAAAGAAGCATCAGAACTGTGAGATCTCTATCTCTCTGCTGTATCATAATAACATTTTTAAAAACTAAACCCACATCTTTGTTCTCTCCAACTAAAGACTAGCTCAGCTTTCCTTCCACGTACAGGTTTTTCCTGAAAGGTAAAAGCCTTGTGCACATAAGCTCCTTGTGACAGTCAAACAATTGCTTCCCAGCCTTTATCCACAAGACTGAAACAAACGGGGAGCCTGACACCTTTTAAATTGGGGATGCAGCACTTTGTTACATAAGTGGAGATACTTAGGTTTTACCTCCAAGGGAGACTTTCCCTGCTTTTCCTGTTCCCTGTCACACAGCTGATGGTCTCTAGTGTGCTGAGTGCTGGTGTGAATGGACTAGGAATACAGTCAGCCTTAAAATTGAAAGGTTTTAAGATTATATTAACATGCAAAGAGAGGGAATGACAAGCCCCAGCTGCTCCCTGGAGCAGCCTGAGCCATAGCTCAGCTGGAGAGAGCAACCCTTTCCTACATCTTAGCTCCCACCTGAAGGGCACATCTCTCAACTGAGGGCAGTTTATGGGATGTCCACGGGAAAGGCTTCATGGAGGGCAGGTGCAAATTCTGCAGTAATGAATATTTTGTGCTTGAGGATGCACAGTGTGTTGGGAACATCCCACCCTGCCCGTCGTGTCGGGTAACCCTCGGCCAGTCACACACCGGGTCGCTCCTGGAATCCCAGTTCCCAAGTGAGGAGCAATCTGCAGAAGGAAGCAGTGAATTGGGTTATTTGCTGTTCATTTACTAAGGTTTTATGAACACAAAGACTGGCATTGATCCGGACCCTCCGAGAGCTGCCAGTGAGGACAGTGAAAGCTGCTTGTGTTGGAAGAGCACTGCCTGTCCCGTGACACTGACGTGTGTTCCCATCTTCCTCATTTCTCTTCCTTGTTCCGATGGGAGAAGACAGGTATGAAGACATTCCTATCCCTTGCCACTGCTGAGTGACTTGAAAGGGTCTGTCCAGGGCCTGCCACCACCCTGCTGCAGTCACCAAACCCTGATGGATGTGAGTGGGATGAGGAGAGAAAGCACTGCTGCCAAGTCACTGGAGCATCCAACCTGCCCCAGGCACGGTGTACTGTACAACAGTATCAACAGTGCCTGGTGAAACAGAATAAGAACTGACAAAAACATTCAAAATTGTTATAAAATAACATCTGAAAACCAGCTGGTTTGCTCCGAGCCACAAGTTCTTGCCCCAAACAGGTACACACTCTGCAAAGGAGCAGCTCTGCCTGAAACAGGCTCTTTTATCAATTTTTTTGTCTGTCTGATGCTGTTTTATTTTTGCTACACACAACCTACAGATATTTGATTCCAGCCCCAGCACTTTGTTGGCAAAACAAAAGAGCATATGGACCTGTCTAGATATTGGAGTCATCCAGCAACAGTATACAGATGTCCACGCTCGAGACTGAAAAAAATTAAAGATGGGGGTGGCGGGGGAAAACCTGCCCTGACAGGAGGCAATCTGGAGTCTGGTGACTGCCTCATTTGCGTGGTTTTTTTCCTATAATCAGGTTACAGCTTCAGCTGAAAGATTTTCTTCATTTGCCCTGGAAAGCTCATGCCAAAAACCATTAGAAAGGGGAGGGTGGGGAAAAGAATGGGCTGGGCACAGATAAAGATGAAGACTTAAAAAAGAAATAACAAAAAGAAAGAACACTCTTGCCATGGAAAACTCCCCACCAGTAATCTGGCATCACTTACCAATTTAACATATCTAATTCCAAACATTTAATGTCTCTTTCATTAATTTTTGGGGGTCATTAAATGTTGTACAACTATAAGCCACAAGAAGATTTCACAAACAGCGGGGATTTTGTGTCTGTGACCTGTTATAACCCAGAGAGAACATGCAATGGGATTTGTATTTTTCTACTGAGCAGCTATTTTCAGAGGCAAAAAGCCAAACACTTGCATAACTCAATGTGACCATTCTGTGCATCTGTGGCATTTGTCAGGGGACAACACTTTGGCCAACAACATTGAGCTAGTAAAAGAAGGGGACATGCCTACAGAGAACAGCCAGTTTAAATATGATAAAGATTAGAGTAAATAGGATTTTAGTCCTTCCCCTTTTTAAGTAAATGGAGTAATTCTCCGAGCATGTGGAAAAATAATAAACAACTTCTCCTCTGCCAAAGAACAGGCCAACGGTCTAGACTTTTTCTTAACTGGCAATCATCTAAGATTAAGAAACTGGGAATAAAAGCCTGACACACGATTTCGCTGCTTTATGCAATCGAATACATGCTACTTATTTGTGAAATCCTACGAGAACTATTACAGCATCTGAATCGAGACCAAGGCTGGGGAACACTCACAGTTCTCGCCGTTCTCTTGCTGCTGGTGTCAGGGTACTTTGCAACCACGAGCTTTGCTATCGTAGCTGAGGCCAGAGCGACAATTCAGCAGCATCACAGCAGCTTTCCACTGTCTGCAGACATTTTGGTCATTTGTAGGAAGGTACAGGTCTGTGTGTTTGTGTTTTGTGCGTGTGTGTATAAACTATAATTTGATTACAGGGAAATGTTGCACAGTTTAGTAGCCTCAGTCCAGGCCTGGAAGCCAGGAATGCTCGGTGAACTCATTGCAAAGTTATGTAGGCCAAAATTCCCTGTATCATCCTCTGGTTTTAGTCACATTTCAATGCTGTCGGTCTGATTTTCCTGATGAAGAGAGGATAAAGAGCTCCTGCTGACATGAGTTCGTGAGCACTCAGCTCCTCCACGCTGCTGAACTGGGTCCCCTCTCCTTGAAGCGCTCGGTGGCAGAGGCGGCTGCTTTTATCAGCTGTCTTCGCAGGATGTCATACGTCCTTATTATTCCTTATGATCTCTTCTCTGGTTTTTAATGACCCTACAGAGCTAATGAGATGTTTAGTTCCCCCACCCAAGCACAACCATACGGAGGAGATGATATCAGGCAACTCGCTGAAACCATTAAATCTCAGGCATGCGGAATATCCAGAAAGTTCCTGTTTTCAGCATGTCAGTTTGAGCCTTCAAATGCAGAAGCGCACGGCCTGCTCACATGATGCCAGCAGCACAACAGAACAAACTGTCTTCTGCAGACAAAATCCTGACTATTTTTAACTTTAAAAAGATCTGCAGATGACTCTTCTTCCACTCGATGTGGTTTTCCTCCCTTCCTTCGAGAGACCCTGCCCTTGGTAACGTCACACGGTAATTCTGTGTCAGGGGATGTTGATTCCCAGCAGCATTCCAAAGCCTGTGCTGGCCTCTTCCCACCACCCAAAGCTCTCCTGCAGTGGACAGCTGAGAGATCACCAGACTCCCTTTTACTTTCATGTGTCAGAAAGCTGAGACATGATGGAGATGGCTGTCCCTCCTCAGCTGCAGGGGAGGCACACGAGGGTGGGTCCAGAGGAACGGCCTTGCTGGGCAGAGCAGGAGCTGAAGGTACAGCCCCAGCCAGAGCCAGCAGAGTTAGACTCCTCCTGGAAGACCTGCTTACTTTTCCACACACAAAACAGGGAGAGACCCTCCCTGCAAGCCCTGTCATCCCACCCCGAGGGGCTGGGGTTTCACCCAAGAGGGGAGGCTGTGTCCAGCCAACAGCAACCCCTGGAGTGCCTGTGGTCTGTGGGGGGAGAGGGAAGAGATGCTCCATCCTGTGCTTTTCCAGTAGATGCTTCTGCTGGTTGTTTTTTTAAATGCTAAGAGCGCAACCATTCCCTGCATGAAAGGAAGCATTGTGTGTGGAGCACAGGAAGAATTTCCTTTACTGTAACTTGTAGGGAGCAAAGGAAATAAAAGCAGAGCAGCAGTTAGATGAAGGTCAGATGATTGTATGAATCAGAGGGTGATGCAAGTTATCGAGTGTGTGGCTCAGTGCTCCGCCCAATAAACCAGATGCCACCTAAGTACACAAATACCACTTACCTATGATTGCTTACCCACATGGATGTAATTCTCTTGCTCAGAGAGAAGGGGCTGGTGTTTTTTTGGTTTCTTACTGTGATACTGTGAATTTAACAATCAGGAAAATATTTATTAAGTAGGACAGCAGTGATGACATCGAGGCAGACACAATTTCTTTAGATTTTTAGGCATTTCATTCCACCTAGGTGAAAGCTGAGACACAAGCATTCCCCAGTCCAAAACACTGAAGAGGTGACAGAGGCTGCTGTCGGGGTATTGGCAGAGTCGTGTCTGGAAACATATTTGCAATTTCCATTAAAAAGGGGGAACACCATGAAATTTCTGCAGCAACCTGCCTGGCCCATAGGAAGCACAGTGACTCCCACAAACACCCTGTCTCTAGGAGGTGTTACAGAAGTGATGCACTTTTAAAGAAGGTACCAAGAGAAATGGAAAGAGGTTGTGGGTTTGCAGTTAAGGAGACCTTGAGGTAGCAGGAACCACCTGAGTTTTTTCAGCTGTGTCTAAAGAAGGATGTGCACACACATAGTAAAGAATCTGCGATCAGAAACGGCAAGCAGAGTATTGCCATGAGAAACTAAGAGAGCAGAGCTCAGCGGAAGCCTGGATGGGATTCTCCAGTAAAGGATGGGAATCACCAATAAAGGCATCTCCTGGGGTCTGGTGAGACTGGGAGAGGAGACAGGTGTCAGGGACACCCCAAACCTGAAGGTACAGTGTCTGCTGCACAGCCCACCAGCAACAGTGGTCCAGCAGATGAAGCTGTAATAGAATCACAGGATGGGTTGGGTTGGAAGGGACCTTAAAGATCACCCAGTCCCAGCCCTGCAGGGACACCTTCCACTAGCCCAGGTTGCTCCAAGCCCCATCCAACCTGGCCTTGGACACTTCCAGGGCTGGACAGCCACAGCTTCTCTGGGCAACCTGTGCCAGGGCCTCCCCACCCTCATTGTAGGAAACTTCTTCCTTATATCTCACCTGAACTGACCCTCTTTTAGTTAAAACCATTTAGTTTAAACACTGTGGGCAAGGGGGGGGTGAGGGTTCTGCTGGGGAAAGTGTTTCCTTTGCTGGGATACTGAGACCACCACATGCTCCAGCAGTGCTGCTCAGCTGCCTCCTGGGCTGACAGCCTGAGCAGGAAATAGCCACATCCCAAATTAATTAGAAACGCCTAATGAGCTCTCATGCTTTGCCTGGAAGTGACGAGGGCAGAGGACAGACACGGCTGATGAAGACATTTCCTCCAAACCCACCTCTGCTGTAACCATCTCGAAAAAGCAGGAATTCACCCCGTGTTTCTGAGGCTGGTGACGTGCACTGGACAAACCCCGCGTGGGCTCCAGCTGAGCCAGGGATTCCTTCACTGGAAGGATGAGCCTGAGATCCAGCAGGGTCAGCAGCTTCCCAGCCAGCCAGCCTGGGAAAAAGCAGACGAGGACGCGACAGTCAACTACAACATCTCTGGGAAGCTGTATTTAGGTTAAGGATTATTTTCCCCCTAAAAATGGGTGTCTGAATTCACAGCTGTGAAGAGCTGTGGTTGCCAGGAGCCACAGAGAGTCTCACAGAGCCCTTGATTTTAATTCTAAATCAGTTCAAGCCTTACAGTTCTTAAAAAACTGTATCTGTTTCCATGGGAAGAGCCTGCTTTTCACTAACCTATAATTTAAGAAATAGTTTGGAGATTTTAAGCTGTATTTTGAAGACTAAATTCTCCTCCAGGCTGATGGCTTTTACAGCCTGACCAGCCTCAGAACAGTGCCGTGTGAAATGACAGAGATCAAGACCTTTAGTTAAACTGTACAAGAAAAACAGCTTTGGAGAATAAAGTGCATGATCATTAATTATTGCAGCACAAGCAACACAGCTGTAATTTTCTTGTTCGCCCAGAACATCTCCCTCAAATTTTATCAGTCATATTGTTAATACATGCAAACAGGAACCCTTGTTTTTTCATCTCTTCTGGTAGTGATCAAAATTAGGCAAGATTTTTAGTTACAGCTGCTATTAATAAATTTACTCCTTGAAAATGTGGTATTTAATTTCTTAGGATTCAGTGCACTCACGAAGCTATTGAAAACTATAATTGCTTATGGTTGTAATTTTGAAGCAATTAGAGAAGAATTGCTGAATGTAGTTTTGCAAGCACATCGAAGTCCTCCGAAGTGAAAAGCATCCCTGGCAGGAAAATCAAACACACAAACCCTTTGTACCCTCTGCCCTAAAGTCACTGTTTATTGACACCTTTGTAGCATAGGGACCTTTTGCAATCTCCACCCCAGAGCCCCCAGACCAGGGTGTTTGCTCAGGAGAGGTCCCACCCCCGGCCCGGTGTCAGCACCAGGAGTCAACCAAGGCACATGCTGGGATCCCCCTGCCCAGACTTGGGCTGTGCCTCCAGGTTCTCTCCCCACTGTGCTCTGTGCTGGCTCTGGGCTGTTCATAAACCACTTTTCTTCTGGTGACTTTAGTGGAAATGTTCTAGAAATTTTTTCAATGAGCCGAGGAAACTAAAATAATGAGCCCTTGGGAAGTAGGGAGCTCGTTTCTCAAGGAGATGCTCTCACCCGTCTTTCCTCAGCCCGGCTACAAGCACTTCCATAAGAAACACCACCTTCATTTTCAATGCCACTCGAGGAAAACATTTGTTTTCTGTTAACAGGCCTGGACAAACTGCACCTTGAGCTCTCCCAGCCGGCCCCAGCCATGTGACACATTCGTGTGTCCCAGAGCTGCAGCTTTGGCCCATCCTGCTCGTGGAGGAAACGATGATGAGAGCAGGGCTGGTCACAATTGCTCCAGCCCAGCAGAGCTGCACGTGACCTGCACAGCTCCCTGTTCCTCCTTAGTGCTCTTCCTGAAGAAAAAAGCTGTGTCTGTGCCACCAATGCCACCAGAACTCATGCTGAGGAGTTAACGAGGAAGGCAAAGCAAGTTCCAGATTAAACAGACACTCCGGTTACAGGGGGAGAAACTCAACAACAGGGGCAGCCAAAGGCATGGTGGCCACAGAGAGTTCCTCTCTCTCAGTGGTTTAGAAAGCATGGGATAGATGAAATCTTCAAACCAAAAAATAGCAGCATTAAACAGTGTCTTTATGGGCTCAAACCCAGTGGCCCAGGGATGGCCCTGAGCGCTGGCACTGCAGCCCCACGGGGCTCCCCAGTGACCTACGTCGGAGGAAGTGGCTTCCTCTCATTCACACAAGGTTGTGATTTTGTAATGGGAAAAGGACGAGCCAGAGCAGGACATTTCCCTCCTGCCACCTCCCCTCCCAGATAATAAAGGTCAAAGATTTTTCTTGGTCTGTAACTTCATCTCTGGGACACTCTGTCTACAGAAAAACTGTTACCAAAGGAACTGGGTTGCAGGTTTTTAAGGAAGAGAACAGCAAACAGGAAGCACAAAGGTGTTCATGCAGTGAGAGGTGGATTGTCCCAGGACCCACCAGCAGCACTCGCACTGGGGCTCCTCTCCCCGCCTGGGGCCTGGCCAGGGCCGGGGCACAGGCAGGGCAGCTGTGTCACAAGAAAAAGGCATCTGCTTATCTCCTGTGCTGCTTTGGAAATCCAGGACCAGCCTACGGCCCAAATACTTCCTCTGGGATGTTGCAATAAGGAGCTGCTGGCTGGGCCGGAGCCCGGTCGGTGCCGCCCGGCAGTGCAGCCCTGCCCGTGGTCACGGCCCTCACCCTCGGTGCTGGCTGGGCACCCACGGCTGCTGGGCTGGCCTGCAAGGTCCAGAAGCTGTGGGGAAACCTGGCCTTGAGACAACAGCAGCTGTTTGCAGCAGGACAGGAGCACCCGACCCCGGTGGGAAGCAGCCCCGTGGCCCTGCTCGCCCCACAAACCACCGGGCTGGTTATTCAGCCCCAGCCCGGCCTGTGGTGATCCCCTGGGTGCCGATGGGCCGGATCTGGGTGCACGAGCTGCCCTGCCCACAGAGCCACCCAGGGCATTGCTCAACCCACAGAGCTTTGAGCAACAGGTACCAGGCAGGGGAAGTCCCAGCGCTGGCGTTCAGCCAACGGGCACCCACGGGCACCAACATCACAGCCAGGAAGGGGCCGTGTCACCCTCCTGTCCTCTGAGCTCACGGCAGGAGGTGCTGCCAGGGGCCTCAACAAACCCACTCCTCATGTGCTCCAGGTAGCCTTTCCTCAGCAGTGACATCCCAAAACACAGGACCAGCTCCTTGCTGTCACCTGCCTGCCTTCTGCATCTTCCTCTTCTGTGCCACAAGCACCACGACTGGCACTGGGAGCCCTCCGTGCCCGGGTGCAGCTGGTTCTCGGGAGCACAGCTGAGGGCAGGAGCTCAGGCACTGATCCCCATCCTGGGAGCAGATGTCTTCAGCTCCAGCTGGGAACAAACAGCTGGAACACACAGAGGTTTAGAAATCAAATTCTGCCGCTGTACAAATATTTTTGGTAATGAAAATAAACAGAGACATGGGAGTAACATGCTGCCTCCTGCTACTATGCTTCCAGGAGGAGATGAGCTGCCAGAGAGCAGAGGGCCTGAGCAAGAGCAAGCGGGTGACAGGGGGGTGATGGCTCACAGGAGGCCGTTCATTTCCAGAGGCCACACAACAGGTCCAGCCCTGCAGGATGGCCAGCAGGCATTGCTGAGGCAGGAAACTGCCCAGCAGTGGTCCCTTGGGGGAAGGAGAGCCCCAGCACCCCTCCAACACACAACCCCTCATGCCAGCTCCTCAGCCAGGTTCCCAGGGGGATCCACAGCTCCACGGGATGCTCCGTGTTGGCACTTTCTGTGCCGGCTGGGGAAGGATCTCTCACCTCTGTACCTCAGTGAGGAGCTGTCCTGCAATGTCTGTTCCTTCCCACTGACCCCCAGCCAGGGGAGAATGAACACCCCTTGAGGGAGCCACCGGGCACGCTGGGCACAGATTTACCTTCCAGCTCCTCTGCCAGCAGGCTCCCAAAGCAAAGCTTCCACTGCTGGGGAATCAGATCCTGCTCCAAAAGCCTGGCCAGATCCCTCACGATTTGAACTTGTGGTTCTTCGACTGTCAGAGCGGAAAAGCTCTGATTCCAGTAAAGCAGCATCCCCAGCCAACACAGCAACACTTTCCAAAACCCCAAGCACTGGTGTATTTAGATTTGCCTGTAGCAACAGCAAGGATGATGTTTTTGTGCAGAGGGAAGGCAGGAAGGCTGCAGGGGCGGTGTGAGGAGCCTGTAACTGCTCCTGTACCATGAAATAAATGAGGGCATGGCTGGAACAGAATGTGAACGCTGAAGCACATAAACAGAGACGTTCCTTGCAGCACAGACACTCAGAAAACACGTGTATCTCCAGGCCCTCTGCTCATTTTTACCTCCCGCTACAAGGCCAATATTTTTTAACGATAGATGTTTAAGAGAGAAGAAAGCAACAGCAGCTCAGCAGAGAGCTGTTAGGAGCTCTTTGCTTTTGTGCAGCCAACACAGCAAGCTGCTTCCCACCCCTGGATCCAGAAATCATCCTCTGGTTACTCTGCACTGAGCCACACAGAAAAGAATCATCCCCTTTCCTGCAGACCCCTGGGAATCACGCAAGGGATGAGAGACCCAGTGGTACTCAGGTGCCTGTGGCTTCCCTCCTGCCCTTGCCTCAGCAAAGTAAATTAGCTTTCCCCTTTGTTTCAGGAAAATTAAGGGAATTACAGAAAAGAAGTAACAATACATTAAAAATACTGGCTAGCAAGTGCCATGTCCCAGTCTAGCTGGAGAGTTAAAAAGGAAATCAATTCTGGGCATTAACATCAGCGTTTTCTGGATGCTGCAGTGATTATACTGCTGAATGTACTGCTCCCATCATCTCTGCCAAACACCCACACAGACACATGACTCCAGCTACCCTCGCCATCCCTGTCAGGAGGACACCTCATGACCATCTACTCCAGTAACACCAAATTCTCTGCCCTGTCAGGTGCACTCAGCCCGAGGAGCCCTGCAGGAGGTCTGGCAGTGCACAGGGCACATCCCCAGCATCCCCTGGCAGAGCCTCCCCTGCTCCCAGCTAATGCTGAGCATCTCCTGCTGCAGGTTCTGCTGGAGCTGCCCTCACCTCACCTCCAGCACTGCTGTGGGACCACAGGCTCTGCCCTGTGAGTCCATGGTGGCACAGGAGCACCAGGCCAGCAATGAGCCTCTGTGTTATCAGGATTAAAACACAATGGTTCTGTGTTAATTGCTTTTTTGTTGACTCACCCACACTGAGCACTGAGCCATTTGATGCAGTGCTGCTTGGGCTGGGAACGGAGAACCGGCTGGGCAATCCACTCCTGCCCCCGGGGGAAGCTCACGGGGTGTCACAGGACAGCACTCGGGAGGGGGCTGCTGGGGCTTTCATTCCTGCGAGAGATGAAACCAAACACTGGGGTCACAGGCACCCTTCTACAGGGCAGGGC